TAATTAATAATCATATGAAAGAGCAGACAATTTTACATAAGCCTATGCAAAAACAATTCACTCAAAACATCTATACTGATAGAGAATTGCATTCAAATGCAATGGGGGAATGTCCCGTTTTCGCTGATTTTACCCATATATCATTCTTGTTGTATCTAAACTAGATCAATAAAACAATTCTTTTATTAATAGAAATATCATAAGACATGGTTTTGTTTTATTTGTTAAACTTGCATATCTTTACATTTATGATTTTACTCCAAAAACAAAACTGATCATACAGATTTAATTTCGATTTTTTTTCCTAATCGTAACTACCATAAAGATTTTAAATAATAATCTTGTTTTTCAGTACCCCAAAAAAATAAGATATCTCCGATAGAGCCTGTTGGATTCAAAACTTTCAGATCCGGACCAATCCGCTAGTCTTCGAGCTTTCTTTATTTTGGGATTCTAAGTGTTGAATACCAAGTTACCACTATTTAAATTATTATTTAGAATCTTCGAGTCATTGTACATGCATTTGAATAAACAAACCTTAAGTGCACGAACAAAATCCATATAACCATCATCATTAATATCTAATTCTTCAAGTTTTGATACGAAACATTCATCATGTTCATCAATCCATACAAAAACTTTATCTGTATTACGTTTAAATGAAATATATTGTAAATATTCATCAATAATTTTTTTTCTATGATGCCAAGCATTTAAAACTGTATCTTCTTTATTTTTTAATATTGTTGAAACATCTACATAGAGAGAAAAAAAATTTATATATTTAATAATAACATTTTTTTAAAAAAATATTTAATTACTTTTAATTTTTTGTTCAAGTGGTTTTAAATAAGCTTCAGGTTTTATTAAATTAGCTGCATTACGAAGTGCATATTTATGAAATAAATCGGATTTTTGACGAGCAACTGTACATGCCTAATCCAAAAAAGAAATTTTTTTTTGCTATTCAATTAAATAAAAAAGAGTACAAACCCGTAAAAAACTATGTTTATTTTCATCAAGTTGTTCTA